TATCGCCTGCTGGAACGTGCGAACTTTGGAAACGGCAAGCTGGATGACGTCATCCGTACAGCTGAGCGGTACCATCTCGACCTTGCGATCCGAGAAACACATCACCGACCAGGGAGAAAATGGCATAGAAAACGGATGGCAGCTTCACTGGTCTGGCAACCAGGATTCCAGATGCGAGGCAGGAGTGGTAGTGTTGTTCTCGCCACAAGCAGTGAAAGCCTTTTGTTCATTACATGGCCGACTAGATGTTTGTTTGCGTCTTGCAACATAAGAACGTGAATGTCAACGTTGTTTTCGTGTACGCCCCCACCAGTGTTGCGGGCGATCATAGGAAGAACGAGTTCTACGCGTGTTTACACGGAGTTCTCGGTTCTCTTCCATCTAATCAGTTATCGATAGTCACCGATGTAGGTCGCCGCGAACAATTCCAGCTGGCATAATGTGATGGGCTAGCATGGCTCCAGGACAATGAATGACAGCGGTCCGCGGCTGTTAGACCTTCGTTCCACTCTATCTTGTTTGCCGGCGGTACGCTGTTTTCTCACCGTGAGATTCATCTGCTGATGGACAACGCCAGGTGACCGCTTCAGGAGCTAGCTGAATGACATATTGGTCTGTTGTAAGTGGCGAAGCGTTATTCACGACACCCGGGCACGACGTGGGGCTGATATTCGCTCGAAGGTCGCAAAGCTCCGCCTCCAACTAGTCCGGGAGAACATTCCGGAAAGGGGCGAACGCCAGATTCGAAATCAGGAAATTTGAAGATCCAAAACTTGCGCGGCGTTCCAAGTCGAGATCAGCAGTAGATTCGCTGCTATAAAGGACGTAAACCGTCAGAACTCCGAACTGCTGTACCAACAACGCAAACAGGGTATCATCGGTACCGCAATAGATAGACTTGGACTATGCTAAAAGACGAAGTACCCGTGGGTCTCGGCAGAACCTCTCATTCTGCCAAAAAGGAAACGTGCCGAAGCAGGAGTACAAAACTGAAGAGACGAAGCAGCGAGAGTATCGGCACCTCGTGAAAGCAGTTTTCTGT